AACTATTCACAAGTAATTAATGCATTATTGAACAGGAATAAATAGATAGCAATTAAATAACAAGTATTAATGACTTATTTATTAACATATTAATAGTTGGCCTGAGAGTAATAAATGCAAATTAGTGTAAAGTGGTACCAAAAATTGTGTCGATAATAGGCCCTGAAGTAATCTTGTGTGTTCAAGATAATTACAAATATATTTTCCTTTCAAAAATCTACTGCCGGGTAATTTTTTATGGTTTCCTATAATATCATTTTAAAATTAGAAAATTAGCCCTAGTCTCATTAAAATAATTTTGCAGTGCATCAGGCTCTATTTCAAGTGTAAGTTTCACATTATCTTCTTGCCTACAGACCTTGCGGTTTTTTTTCCAGAAAACCTTTTCATGTGCCAGTATTTTGCCCCTGTGCTTGGTACCATAGCTTGGTATGATGTTTTGTTCTAGCTTACTGCTTGCACAACTTTTCTCATACTTTATTAGTATCACTACATAAAAAGTCCCACTGCAAGCAGGGGTAGTACTTTGAGAGCTAAATCCAGCAACAATCTGTAAGGGCCATATTTATTCCTATTTATTACTGCTAATAGTAACTGACCTGATAAATAGTTCAGGGGCTTTAGACATGACCAAACTGATGCACACCTAACAACCAGATCACAACAGATCCCACTTAAAAGACCATCTCTGGTCAGCTGTTTTACTAGAAATACTTCCCCCCTCTGTTTTTTTTTGTGCTTTTTTTTTTTAATTCTTATTTGATTAGACAAAAGAAAATCCCACCTCACACCTTGGCTCTAAACTATTACTTAACATTGGAAAAGCAATTACTCGGTGAGGACAGAAAGACATTGCCACTTTTATCAGTTCTAGAAAGAAAAGGAAAATCTTGGCTAAAATCCAGGGTCCTGTTCTCATCACTGATCTGGTAACAATAGCAAATTGAAATATTCCAGTCTGCCACCAGTCCTGATTTTACCAATTCTAGAATCTGACACACATTTATCACGTGACTGCCTCTAATAAAAGATCAGCAAATATTCATGTTTGTAACAGGAATGGAGGAATGGGGGCCCAGGCTTCCTCCTGGCACTGGTGCACAGAATGCTGCTTCAGCACATGTTTGTTTCTAGAAATGTTTCTGCCTGCCTCTGTAGGTAGCATTTTTACTTCTTTGCATCTTTCCTCATTAAAGGCATTGTAAATGTCTTTTTCCAGAATAATCAAGGGCCTTTCTGTGAGGTACAGAGCTACGGTGGCTCTGTCTGCACAGTGCCTTCCCAACCACTACGTAAATGTGATTGTGGCCGTGTAATCTGTGTACCTGAAAATATAATTCGTTTTGTTGCTAATGAAGGTCCTACGGCACAAATTTATTAAAGGTATACTTTTCCGTGCGATAATAATTGGGTCGATAATATTAAACTCATAGGCTCATTATTTAATTGCAAGGGCAGATTATGAATACAGCTTCTAAAATGTATTTTAATGAAAAACACTACATCCTGACCTAATCATATCAACCTTATGCTATCTAATTAAGGATGCAAAAAATCATTAGAGTTGCAAAATATTAGTTCCAGCTCCATCAGGCTGTTAGCTGCCCCTTCATGAATATATATATTTTTTTACTCTATGATAAATAGTTAATGAGGTAAAAATGACAAAATTTGCATGTAGGCAAATTAGTTTAATAGACTGATGTCTTCCTGGTCTACAGAAAGTGACCTTTCTCCTATCAAAAGAAAGACTGAAAATACTTTGAAATGATGTCAGGGATGTGGATATCATTCCACAAATGACAAATCACTCCTCTGAACAATATAAAAATTATAAAATGCAATAACCTTAAATTCTCATCATATTGTAAATGTGTCCTCTGCTGCTGCATTTATCAATTTAATAAAAGGAAATTAAGCATATTATAAAATACCCATTTATGGGGCAATTTTTAATCCAGCAAATAAAAATGAGAAGCACATGGTTAATAGCAAGAAAATATTGCAAAAATGTGGACCTATTTTTTCCAGAAGGTTTGACTGACTATTTACTTGAATGACCTCCATTTAAAATATATTTTTTATATGGAGTGATGTAAGATATGGCAGTCTCATGCTTCCCTTTATAAAAATTGTTCACAGTTAATTTCGTATTTTATTTAAAAATTAACACATTAATAATGCACGCAATAAGACCTAGTGATGTGTCTTCCATACTGATTACTTTGTACAATTAGACATACAAAAAGAAAGGGACAAGATAAATACCTTATGCAAATCTATGGCAGAAAAAAGGGTCTTTCAGTATCTGCAATGCCTAGGAGCATAAAAAGACCTGCAAATACAGCTCCCACTCTTGCTCCATATGGAGAACATATTTGTGGAATTGAGCTAGTTTTTATTGCAAAACTAGATTTGTAAAGAGCTAACAACACTTCCTTTGATGGTTCCCTTTATCATCAAAATAATACCAAATTTAAAAAAAAAAAAAAAAAAAAAGAAAAAGGAAGAGATGAGGAAGATTTTGATTTTTGAAGACTGGTTCTTTTTTTCACAGTATTTGTGTTTTGTATGATAATTCAGGACTTTTGAACACAAGTCTCCACTCACAAATTTTCCTCATTGTGAGGCAGATCCTGTGACCACTGAAGTAAATGGTGGAGATCATCTCTAGATGTGCCAGTGATGCAAATTCCTGTGCTCTTTCCACATTGTTCATATCTTCTTACATCACATAGTCTGCATCAGTGTGTCCCCCAGAGAACGGGAATGATTAACACTGTCACAGCCTGGCATTTGGTTAGGGATGATGTAAAGGAAAAGGCATGAAATTCATGCAGATGTAGACAGAATAGCAACCAGAAACTTAGGGGTTTAGCAGAGACAAAACCATGCATCACTTTCCTTTGTTGAATGAAATGTGTGCTGCTCCTGTGAGGCATTGGGATTCTTCCCTCTACTCTGACTGCACCATCTGAGGTGCTGGATCCAGCTGAGGCTGGGTCCATTTTAAAGGATCTCAGACTAAGATTTCACATTTCATTGTGGCCTTTCAGACATGCTAGGCTGCATACTGCGAGTAAAACTAGGCACTTACACGTTTCTATAGCTATGGGTCAATGCCTTTCAGTGGCCTGTCCCTTGAATTATGTCTTACTGTAGCAGTGGACAGCCCATTCAGGTTTCTTCCATTCAGGTACAGACTACCTGTATACAGAGAAGTAATTTCTTTTTCCATTCATTTCCATTTGTCTTTATCCCCACAATTCCTCCTTTACTCCTACCCTTCTTTTTTTTTTTTTTTTTTTTTTTTTTTTTTTTTTTTTTTTTTTTTTTTTGTTTTTTTTTTGTTTTACTTTTTTTGTTCAGCCCTTATCCAGCCCTTTCTGTTTTGCTGCAAGAAATTCTATGCTGGAAATATCATTAGAAATTTATTAAGTACTTAGAAATGCAGTTTGCAGTTTCCTCATCTGCCACTTTTTCCAAATGCCATTGGTGGTCCTGGCATGCAAAATTAGGTCCAATACAGGTGTTCTTTGTTTTTTACTTAATTTGTAACAAAGATAATAGAAACCAATTGTCAATGGTAATACTTTGAGTTATTGCAGAAAGTTTTAAAGTAAAAAAAAAAAAAAGTTATTTTACTTACTGGGAAAGACAAAACAAGTTCTATATCTACAAAAAGAGAGAATGTCTGAGGCAAGTGGTTGTGGAAGCACATTCACTCTTTCAAACCTTTTCCCTCCCCTCTGCTGAAATGCTATGGGCTGCTCTGCACTTTCCCACAAAAATTAAGCTTACTGAGTATCTGCTTTTTCATTCAGTTTTTCCTTTCAGGGTCCAAACTGTCATCACAGGAAAAAAAAAGAGGAAAATAATTACAGCTGTGGCAGATGTTTATAACAGTGACAACTGAGGCTATATATTTATATAAACTGCTGATCTTTCAGAGGTAGTTATAGAGATTTGAAAAACCTGCAGGCCCTAATCTTAAGTCCCTTGTTCCAGAGGGTTAGAAAAGAAAAACAAAACAACTCATACAGGCTTAAGAGGACTAATTTCCTTCCTATTGGGGAATCTGTTTTTTTTACATTGAAGCAGGAGAGTTACCAAACAAAGCATTGTACACAGAGGCATTCACAGATATATAGATCAAAGAGATGAGCACTTTACCAATTGTCCAAGAGCTAGTTTTTAAATTAGTCCTGTGGGAATTAATAACACTGAAGCAAGGCTAGAAAGCAAGGAAGGAAGGAGGACAATGTCCCTCAGAGACTACTGACCATGTTACTTCTATTTCCAATTCTCTGAAAGCAATTATGACCAGAAGCCTCATCTGTGGATGACATCCCCCAAAAAGGACACTTTGCAAACAGAGAATGTATCTCCTATACATCACAGGTTAAGGTCTCTAAATGGGACTAGAAGCTATGGGCTTAATGGAGAAGAAAAAGGAATTATTTTGATAACCAAAGCAGAGTACCTTTCCCTGCTGATTTCCAGCTTAGCCCACTCTTCTGGGAAATCTTGGAGGAAAAGGGCCAGGGAGAAGAGTGTGGCTCTCATATCTGACAGACCAAACTCACACCCCCTTCTCAGGCCAGCCTCACCCGTGCCCTCTTAAGGAATGAATTCTACTTTTTCATGGAAATACTCAGTTTGCTGAGCTGCCTGAGAAATTATCTGGGATGATACTGATATTTAAACCAGTAGGAAGTCTCTAAGAGCCAGGCAAGGACCATCAGATAGCACAGATAATTTTTGACATTGTGATGCCTCTAAGTCTCTGGTTACTAAGCAGATTGTAACCCCTCAGGATGTTCAGGCAATGCACATGAAATGTCACAAAATTCTCGTGAACATGTTGCTTCATAGCTTCTCTATTCAATGAAGCACCCTAAGAATAATTTTCTAATATGTAGATTCTTTTTAATAACACTAATACATGCAAAGAATTAATTTGGACCACAGACTCTTTTTGGAGACTGTTCACCACTCACCATCCGTCTTTCACCATTGATTCCTCTCCACTGCTCAGCCCTCTTTATAATGTAGCTCAGCTCCTGGATGGAAATCTCCAAGTCCAGTGGAACAAAGAATGTGCCTTCCTCAGCATGGATGCGTCGAAATACATCCAACAGCCAACCTTCGCTATGTAGCCTAAAGATAGAAATTACATATTTGGTTCATCTTTAAAAAGACTCTTAATGGGAAAAAAAAGGTAATTCTTTTGTAGACTTATGTTTTCGTTTTCCCTTCATGACTATGGTCTCTGCCCATGGATAAGAAGTTCTCCAACATACAGCACTCTGGAGAATTTACAGTACCTGAATCAAAGCACATAAATTGAAGCAGCAATTTAATTTAATTATTAAAACATATTGACTTCCCAGCAAGATCCTGATGTGCCTTCTCTTTAGAAATGTCTAATGTCTGTCCTCAGCACTGGGCTGGGTAACTAGTTCCAGTAGCATGGTTAGACATGAATGGAAGTCCTGCTGTGCCAGGGTTCAATAATGGGCAAACCACATCATATAGAAGGGAACTCTTTTTTTCAACCCCAAGCCTAAAGCCTATACAATCTAAACTTCTCTTGATGTTAGAAAAGTTCATTTCATTTGTTGGCTTTGTTTTTCTATGACATTTCAGTTCTGTGGTAAGGAATTGACTAAGCACTACACAGTAAAATTTTCTACCACAAGAAAGGCTTGCTGTGTGGCATTTCTTGATGTAGGTGAAACCAAGAAATATTGTGGGGCTTTTGGAAAAGCCTGGTGTCACATTTTTTGCCTAAATTGAACTTTAAAACATCAAAACACTGCTGCTTGGCCCAAATGGATCCTCTTCAATTAATCTCTTTCTCATTCTACTTTTATGCCAAACACAGGGATTCAGAAAATAGAAATCAAAATGTCTGGAATCTGAGTTTTGGATATTGAACAGAGGTCTTTTCTTTTGCACCATTTTCCAAGATAATACTTTACTCCAATTCATCTGTTTCTTGGTGCCAATTTCAATATTTTTGTCCATCCCATAGACTGGTTGGGTAATCATGAGAAGTGCATGGATTGCTGTGGCATTGCAACAACAAAATGCCTGGATTTCTGGGGAGCTGTTTAGATCCTTCATTTCTTGGCAGGTGGGAGATGAAGCACAGGCATAAGGCCTTAGACCCTCTGAATTGTCACCCTTCTCACGCTGAGCAGCACCAGTGACAGTTCTTGTGGCTGGTCCTTATCGTTGGGCCTGGTGTTGGCCTGTGTGTGGTGAACAACACGTGTGCCTGGCAGAGGCAGAAGGTTGCTCAGCTAAACCAGAATGAAATTCACATTTACATCATCTCTACATCACACCTTATAGTGCTCACAGAAAGTGCAAAGTAGCACACTCAACAAGTTAGTTTTGCCCACAGCTGAGATTTAGCATGGAACACAAATAAGGAGATGCACCAACAGACGATTTTTCAATCTGATCATGGGAGGAGCTTTAGCTCTCTCTTCAAAGCGGAATGTGTACCTCTGGGTCAAGGACCATATCCAAGAGTTTCTGTGATGAAGTAGCTATTCTGATCCCAAAATCTGGCAGCCTGACTCAACATCAGATTAAGAATTTATATCTCAGACTTTGCTGCAAAGGTTCTCTCTGTACTTTTTTCCCCACCCTTCTTTTTTGAAACATTCTTTTTTGAAGCTGCAGCCCTAAATTTGCTATAGTTTCCAAGATGCCATTTTGGGATTCTCTTATCAAAAGGGGAGAGTAGATGGAAGATCATCTAATCAAGATGTAGGTAGTCTGGGAATATAAACAAACTGGCTATCAAGAAATAATATAAAATGCTCTAAATGTGTGAAATACAAATCAGTGCTAAAGCAGAGTATGATACTAAAGTAGTAACACACTACAGAAGAGATTATTTTTTATAAAAAACTAATACCCTTTATGTAATAATTTACCAAACTCCACAGTATTTTTAAATTAAAAGTTTTTCTCTTAATCTCTGGATCAACATCAGATATCCTTTCAATGCAATAGCTGTATTTTTGGAAGAACTGACTCATAATTTAGAATTATCTTGTGCTTGGTTGAAAAACTAGCAATTAAGCTGGTGGACTTTCTGACCTTCTGCTTATGTTGAAGCAATATTACTCCATGGTGTTTGTCTTTGACATTCCAGGTCAGCAGTTTAAATTGTTTGCCACTTGTCTTGCTAAACAAGAGAAAGACCTTGCCATTTATTTAAGCTCACTTAATGCAACATTCTTATTTCAAATTAACTAAAATTTAATGCAGTTAAATTACTGTCTATTTGCTGCCATAAACATTTTCTATATGAAGATTTTAAGCACATGGTTATAAACAATATAATTAACTTCGAATTAATTAAGAATCATGAAGCCTCTCTTTCAGCTTTGTTCCTTTTGTCCAAAAGTACTCAGCCTGCTCCTGTTACCTGCTTTAATTTCTTTTCTTTGGCATGAAAATTAATAAAACACTTCTTTATAACTTAACATACCTTGTTATAAGCATGAGAGTAGTCATTTTTATTGCTAATACAATAGAAAGAACAAAACACAGATTATGTTTTCTAGACATATGAGAACCAGCATAATAGTCTACAGGTTCATTTATTTAGCTATCAGAAAAAACAGAAAACATTGAAAATATTTCCTACCATGAGTCTGATTAAAAAATGGGCTTTTCAAAGAATTACACAAACCAAAAATGAAAGGGTAGTTTTAGTGGTTTAAAACAATTTATTACATCTTAGCTTGAGCCTTTCTCATCCGTTTTTGGAAAACCACCATTGAAAATACAAAACCAGTTTTGCTATTAACACTGAAACATGTAGATTTCTGAAGCTTTTCCCTGAAAAATGTTTCAATACCAGGAAATTCAGATGCTTTTCACAGACACTTTTTGTTGAGACGGGTCTGCATTTTCTCACAGTGCACAAAACATTTCACCAACAAACTCCTGTCTGTTTCTAATATCTGGTAAAATTAAAAGGAAGAAATTGCAACTAATGCCTCTTCATGGTTCAAAAAAGTAATTAGAATATCTCTCCATGCTATTTGTACTACAGGCTCCCAAGACAAGCATGGGGAATCAGATTTATTGAGGTATTTTGGTTTATAAAGACACAAGTAGATGCTACTTAACCCCTGCCCGTTATTTCATTATCTTCCTGGCTGTTCACCAGTGCTGCCATGAAGTTTTCTAGCTGTGGCACACATAGACACTTCCATTGCTTGCTTTGGTGGCATTGTGGGTTTAGTGTTCTTATCCCTTCTTTTACACACGGTCAAAACCCTTCAGTTCAATGGCAAACTGCTGAGTAATCCAATAAACAGCACCACCTCCTCCATCCAACAGCCAAAGTCTCCACTGTGTATTGGAGGCTTCAGGCACAGAAGGTATCCCTCAATATTTATACTGGCTTATCTTCCAAGAGAAAAATGTGGTGGATGTTTATTTAAAAATATATGTTTTCTGTGCTGAGCAACATTCCACTTGAATGTATTTGAGACATGGCATCTGAGAAATATTCACACAAAGGGATGCTACTGCCCTGGCAGTATAGTTTTACCTATTCTCTTTTGAAAACAAATGCTGTTATGTCCACATTCAGGAAATAGTGTTATGAAATGCAGAGGTGTTGTCCTTAACAGTATTTTTAAAGGTTTTAATTCTATCTTTATTAGGCTGACAGTGTGCTCCTCAAGAGTCCTACCTAGGTCCAAGTTTCCCATGGTGATGACTGCAGATGTTCAAGGAGGAGACACTTGATACAATTGCTGAAGCTCATTATATAACTTTACTCAGCACAGACTCCGGTATTCAAAATGTTTCCTTTTGTTATCAAGCAAAGGACTTCAAAGACCTTACGCACTGTAACAGATTTTGTTATCTTCTCTTTGCTTTTGTACTTTGCTATGAATAGTTTTTAAAATGTGTTGTGCTAAGACAACTTTTTCCCCCTAGTAACATTATTCCCCCACCCCTTTATTGGAAAACATTACAGGAAAATTGATCCAGAAGGAAAGATACCTTTGATGATCTTGCACCTGTTCCCCAGACAATGAAGATGTTGGTAATATTCTCATAAAAACCTGCCTTACAAATGTTTTAATTTAAATTAATTTTCCTGAGTAATAAACGACAGCAGCTAAAACTTACGAAGCTATTCAAAACTATTAAGTCAATGATTAAGAAGGCATTAACGTCTCAAAAACTAATTAACTAGACTGCCAGTACATTGGAGTTGTGTACAGCTCCCAGGAATGTAGGAGCTCGGAAATACTTTGCAGAAATTTAGATTGCCATTTATCTTTTTCTGCCTGCTGCAACAGAATTTGTGGAAGGGGGACCGAGGCATGACACAGTAAGGTGGAGGGTGCATGTGAGATTTTCTGTTCTTACACCTGCCTGCATCTTGCCTTTGCTAATGGCTTTTTATTGGTGCTTGACAATGTTCATCACTGGGTGAATTGAAGGCCAGCACAAAATCTCTGCTGCATTATAAACAACCCACTTATAAAAAATATACACTTTTTCATTCAATATATTTGACAGTCTACCTAAATAATTTTCAGTGTCCCACACCTGTCCCTATTGACTGCACAGCTAATGGTTCTACTAGAAAGCTGGCAAGAAAGATAGTTGGCCAAATGTCATGAGGAACTGAGCTTAGAAAATGAGCTTATGTCACGGAAATATTATTTGGATTAAATCTTGTCATGATGACTCAGTCACAAGTCAAAAATCCTGTATCATCAAAAGTCAGTAAGGCTCTGGAAGCCACTGCAGATTCAGAGATTTTGCACTTCATATCATATGTAGCTTTCTGAAATTGTTCCTATTTCTCACAAACCCCCTTTTTGTAAGGTAAAGACATCTTCCAAAGTACCTAAACGAAAGGTACAAACACTTTACAGCTTAAGCCCTTTCATAGACACAATTGCCTGAAGCCAAAGAAGCAGAGGCTTCTAGAATCTATGAAAAATCATTATATCAATTGTGTTCCTGTTGAGGAAATAAGTGACTCCGTCTGTGACTTGCTGTGCCCATCAATCCCAGTGCATTAAAAGTAAAGCAGGAGCAAACCCCTCCTTAATTATCTGCAGTTCTGGTCTCTTCTGGGTGTGTGACACTGATACATCTTTTCTGACGTCACCGTATTTTATCTAAGTGGAGAAGAGGCATGAACCTAAGTTCCTAAGGGAATAATGAGATTAAGAGACATACCTTAAAAAATACAGGTACAACAATGTGGATGAGATCATGAACAGGATGATATAAAGCATCACTGTGATTAAGGCACCAGGAACTCCTGACTCCCCAGCTCTTAGAAACACCCAGGAGAGTTTTGCAGCATCAGCAATGGGTTTCTCTACGCTGTTCCCAAATCGCTGTCAGGGAGAAAAAATCAACATAAGAAAATGTCACACCTGATTAGACTACAGAGACAAAATAACATGAATATCTGTACAATAAGGATTTAAATGTAATTTGTGGGGTACAGCGTCTGAAGCTTACGAGTCTGCCAGATAGAATTTGAAATTAAACACTGGATGCAAAATAAACTATTTTCTAGCTTATTTTAGTCCAATTAAAATCTACCTTATAGAGGTGGCTTATTGAGAAAAACTCATGTCACAGTGAAAATGCTTGAAGTGAAATCTCTCAGTGTATTTCAGGACAAGTGGCAGGGCAGAAGGCTGAAATTTTCCTTTATGCAATGACCAAGGAGGCATAATATTGAATTCATTATTTTCCAAAATCTATTATTTTCCTTTTTTTATCTTTTTTCCCTCATATCTAGTACTTAAGAACTAGCTACTGTATTGACATATTATTGCCCTCTGCTGGATCAATTTAGAAGAATTCAACTACATATCATGGGTCTTCTACTGCTCAGAACTGAAATAAATTCCTCTCTCCAATTTTGCCTTTTTTAAGTCACACGGCGACAGCCATACCCATATTAGATCATGCTGACACATTTTGCAAGGATGTGAAACTGCACCACCACTGCACCACTGATGCAGTGCCCATCATTCAGAGAGGATCTGGGACCTTTAGGCTTCAAGAAATCTGCACCTTTCTGAGTAACTGGGCTAGATTAACCCTTAGGAAGTGTCACAACTTTCTGCACAGTTCTGGCTGCCTTGGCAGTGATGTGCATAGTAAAGGAATGGATATAGAAAAGGAAGGACAACTTCAAGTCCAGCTATAGAAGAACTGTGACTCTTGAGCATATTTTGTTCTCTCTTCACCCTTTGCAGAGCTACTAGGTTTCTGTCATGAAAATTGAAGTTCCCAGGAGACCGGTAATGACATATAAAGACAAGTCACATATTTATTACAAAAATAATTAAATACTCTGATTCTCTTCTATCTCCCTGTCCATCTTCTCTTCTTGGAAAAAAAAATGTAAAAAAACCACAGTTGGCTGCTGCCACTGCTTTCTTACTGAAGCTACTGTCTACCAAGGAAAGTTCTCTGCACAGCAGTCACGTCCTGACATTCCTCCAGAGAGGCAAAAGTCTGAATGGCAAATAAGAATAAATTTCTCTCTTATCCAAGCAATTCTCTCTGGCAAAGCAAAAGTGGTGTGGGAGAACTTTACTTCTCTATACTTTTCTTCTAACAAAGTTACTCTGTCAATCTGTATACATTCTGCGATCCTCAAAGACATGATCCCAGAAAGGTGTCTTCATTTTAAATAGCTTAAAAAACATTTGTCAACATCTCTCTCAGGTACTCATCACGCCACCACATGTGGTGATCATGTGAGCCTTCTGCAGTGACTCCTGTTTTTCACAATGACACGCATCCATGTGACCAAGGAGGTGTTATTGTTTTCTGCGTTTTGGATGCCAGGCAGAAAAAATGAGTGAGGTTCCAGGAAAGCTCTGACAGAACGGGAACTTGAACTGCATGGGAATGTTTCTTATCCCTGAAACATCCTTCTACAAGCTGACAGTAAATGAAATTTGAAATAACACATTTGACACAGCATTTTGGATGATGACTTGAACACCCCCAAATATGCAACTGCTCTCTAGCCTTTCCCTAACAATAGAAAACGTTAGTTAGTAAACACAGAAACCTTTGTCTCCAGGGCTATCTGTCATCTTTCATAAGTATTAAGGCCATTTTGAATACTAAAATACATTCTAGCATTAAAATAACTCATATTACCACCATACAGTATTTTAAAAAGGCTTGATCTAAAATAGATTGGCAAGAAAATCTGAAATAGCAGCTGAAAGAATGCCAAGAGAAAAAATATTACAAATGCAATAATGAAAACACATGTAAGAGATATAGTTTCATTTTGGAAAGGATACATACAGTATATTGTGTAATATTTGAACAAATGAGTTTCTACCAAAGATAATCTTGGTGGGTAAGACTGCCAAATTTTCAATATGAAGTACAGAGAAGTGTGTGCATTTTTAACACTTTAATGAAAAACTAAGTTATTTTACTTGTATCTCACGTTTCCCCTGACCAAGTGCTATTTGAAATTGATAAGTAATCCAGCCTGTGTAGAACTGAGCATAATTCCACTGAAGTCAATGGCAACGATTTTTTCAATGCAAGTGTGGGAAAGATAAGGCAGACCTTGTCCTCTCTTCCAGTTTTTATTAATACACCAGCATTAGAGGGGATAAAAAATCCATTTAAAAATTTCAACACTCCTAGCCTGGTTGTTGAGGAAATGAATCTTTTTTCTTTTAGGAAAAAAAAAATCTTAATTTGAATAATTACAATTAAAATTCAATACTGTGCAAATTTTACATTGTGGAATTTAAAAATAAATAAATAAATGCAGGCTGCCCAAGTGAAAACTACAGAATGTTGCCACATACTTAAAGTATTGCAATTACCTCTCAAGTGAGTACAAATTAAATTTCTTGAAGAGCTGAATTTTAATTTTCAAAACAACTGCAATGGAAAATATTGTGTAAAGAGTGAAAAATCACCTGCAGAGCACAGGTTAGACGACGAAGAACTAAGAGACCTGAGAAAACTTGATCCACAAAACACCTGTAGATCAGTGCTTCATCTGGAGTGACTATCAGAAACATAGATGACTTTGAAAGACCAGCAAGAGCAGAAGAAGAGCAATACCACAACCCAGAAAAGCTCTCAGCATCCTACAACCATTGAAAGGAGCCTGTGTCACATACACAGTGAGGCCCAAATTTGAAATTTGTGGTCTGGGATACTGGGCTTTATCTTTGATGTGATAGAAGTCTGCAGCCACCCAAGAACAGCTGGGCTACACAGCCCATACACAGGCACAGATAGAGTTGGGATCTTTGCTCTCCTGTTTTTATATATGATGAAACTCTCTCCTGAAAGATGCCAGTCTTTCAATCTCACTAGTCTTTGTAGGTGTGCCAGTAAATTATATTAACTACCTTGCATGTCAGAGAAGTGCATGATAACCTCCATGTTTTTCATTTTGTCTGTTTCAATGTTTAGAAAAATCTGAAGCGTTAATAATCAGGATTGCTCATTAAACCATGCCCATTAACATCCAAAATTGCAGTAATTCTTTTCAAAGCAGATGCAATCACTCCAGCAGTGGATTTACTTTCTTATCTCCAAATATGGCTTGTACAGTGCTCTTAATTTTATGCAGAAACACAGTGACTCCATTAGATGGGAATTTTGTTAATAAAAAGGTAATGTATAACATTATTATTTAATTTCTTTTTAACTTTCATATTTCATTGCCAGGGGTGGATTTTCATATCTTTCAGTGATTCACTGAATAAAACAAACTTCTACGTCAAGTTCTCATGTCCAAGTTATTTTAAGTGACTCACCCCCAGGAATGAATCCACTACAAACACTGCCAAGGGGTCCAGCACTGTCCATAGTCCCATAGCTATGATAAACTTTGACAAGAAGGGAGGGAATGAGTCAAACAGCTGCTGACAGCCCCATCTGATGAGGACCATGAGAAGCAGCCCTGCGTTCAAGGTTAGGGGTCCCACCACAACCATGGCCAACTCTTCACTGGTGTGCAGCAAGGAGTTCTGGTAGCAGAGTTCCACAGTGTGAGGGAAGAGCTGGAATCTGTAAACAAGAAAAAGGAGAGTGTTTGTCTGTGCTCCTGAGCAAGCCATTGAAAGGAGGTAGGATCAGGCGTGTTGCATTGTAAAGTTGCATTCTTATCTGAGTCACAACACTCTGACCAAAAACTCTATGAAGCTAGACAGAAAAAAAACAACTTTGTCCTCCTCCTCCTCCTGTCTCTGCATCCTTGGATCCCCTCTGACTCTCAGTTTTCATCCAGGCTTTAGGGATTGTTCAGGAAAGGCTATAGGAAGGTGTTACCTCTCTGACCCATCAATGTGTACACAGGCCCCAGGAGCTCACCCATGTCTGCACAGCAGCACCTTTGAGCACTGCACACAGCAGAAAATGTGCCGTAGAAGACATAGCTAAAAGTTAGCATGCCTAAAGTGATTGGAAATGTCCCTCTCAGCACCATGAGATGGTGGGAATTGCAAGGCTCGTACCATGAGCAAGTTTGCTGGCACTGTAAGAGACAGGAACAGCACGGCATTGTGAGCTACACACAGATGATGAAATTTGAGGCAAAAATTTCAGTCCTATTGAAATGGCTTAAATTCTGCTCCTAACTAAAGGTGAAGTGGTTTGATTCTCACTCTGCTCCCTACTTGTGAGTGCCACCACTACATTTGGTAGGACTAGAGAGTGTTCGGCTCAGTCTCATTGTTCAGGCACACAGTTACAGACTGGGATGCTGATCCAGGGCATTTTGGCTTGAGACCATTATCCTTTATCTAGCTGAATGCCTGGGACAGCTGTGACTAGTGGCTTTGAACATGACCACCACTCTCTCATGCATTGCTTCCTTCTGTTGAGCTCCCTTTGTTTTCACAGACTCTTGATGCTTGGCCTCCCAGAAGTTTTAGTGCCAGCTGGCTAAGTTGACAGGGGCTGTGCAAGGCCAGAAATGAGAGATGGCTGGCTTTGCATTAAGATCTAGAAGACCACCTTAACAATACCCAGCACTGTCCAGAGTCTGCTCAGACACCTTGCTCAAATTTCAGCCAATAATCAATACCACTACCACACCAGACATAGGTCAGAGAGTTACGTGTTACTGGCTCACACTGACTGATTCAGGTTTATGTGATGCTTTAAGGTGAATAAAAGAAAACAAAAGGTTTTTATCAAAGAAATATTTCCTTTCCTAAGCATGATGGAACAATTTTGCTCTGTAAAACCCTTCTCTACCACACAGAAACATGAATACAGTCAAGTATTTATCACCTAATGGACTGGTACTCTATCTTTGGGTTTTTTCATGCCAGGTAATGACAAGCAATGACTTTCCTGCAACACTAGAGAAGTCTAATTCCTGAGCTAAAGTCAATGTATTATACAGTTAAAATATGTCAACTCATTGCAGTACTCACAGTAAAACTGATATATCAAAGTTAAATTCTTATAAGTATCTTACTCATAGATCACTTTGGTAGCATGAAATATGATTTAAATGCTTCTTCGGTTTTGTGCACTCCTTAGGCATTTTGAAATACTTTATCTAAAGTGATAAATTAATCTTCTGCAAGATACATAATCTGCTGAATATCTCAGATGGGAGAGAGGTAGGCATGACACAAGATTCACAAATGGACACGTCGTGTTCTGTGTTTAAGGTTTACATTACTAACACCTTCACCTGATAGGCAAATTAGCATATCAGATAACTGGACTCTGGATGCAGTCCTTGTTCTCTCAGTTTCTGCAGGGGCTCCTATCAGATCTTGCGTGTTGAACTCTCAGCATGAGCCATCAGTTCTCCTCATAGTGCAAAGGACCTGCTTTGAATCAAGCTATTTGGAGAAATATCCTTACAGAGAAAAGAGGGCAGCAGGACTCACTTTGCAACAGGAACTGAGATGGTCCAAAGGAAGAGCCACTGGCTCAAATAATGCAGGTAAAGTCTCAGGAACCAAAGCACAACCACCAGCAGTGCAAGCAGCCAGAAGTCCCTGGAGCGCCAGCGTGTGGCTCCCAGCTCTGAAAAGGCCGTGTACACCACGAAATGGAAACTCTCCACAACCTGCCTGGACAGCTTCACATCAGCAGCAGCAGCAGAGCGGCAGCTGGAAATGCACGGAAACAAAACAAAGAGTCATTCCTAAAAGCACATAAGAAGCAGAAGCTGCAGAGTCCTGCTGTACAGATAATGTAGCACAGGTTCTGATCACAACTTTGATTAAACAATGCACCTGATATTAAAAACAAAAAAAAAAAAAAAGTTTTTTTTAATGGCAGTCTAGGTGAGAGGTAGCTTCCTCCCAGAAATCACTCCGTCACTTTTAAAAGGACAACAAATCACATTTTAAACAAAGGTTTTAAAAGCCTTTTGGTTTCCTTTTTATTTTAATTTTTCTCACAAATTGTTCTCTGAGGAACACTTTATCTCTTGTTTTCCTTGTGAGAAAATGGTAAAAGGACTTGTCATATTTGTACTGAAAGGTATTAATTTTACTGAAAACCTGTGAACAGCTTTTTGGCATTTGGTAAGAGCACTTCAGTCAAAATATTTCAGGACACAATGTGGGTGAAAACTCTTCTTTAGTTTCAAGTAAAAGAGAAAATAGAAAGGAACTTTCACTGTAAAGGATTCTGCTACTGAGTGTGGCGTGATTTTCCCTTTAAGTTAATTACCGTAGTGCTTCAAAGGAGGTGGAGGGAGGAAATGAGATGCCAAGATGCAGCCTTGGCATTATGTTTCCCAGAAACTGGAGTCTCTCAGCTGATTCAAAGCTGAAAAGACAGTAGCTTCTTTGACCTTTTAAAACTTCTAACTGCTATGCTTATTTCCACTGATTTAAATGACTAAGCAGCTGAGATGCACAACTCTAGGACTTAATATGATGTCATCATGCTCAAACTGTTATTTATATTGATTAAGGCTTCTGAAAGTTCAGAAATACAAAGGTCTTTTTGTGGAAGAAAACATGCTGGCTTTTTAAACTGTAGCATGTGACTGAAGAAGAAGCAGCAGACGTACTTGCACTGCATTTCGTGCTCTTTTAAAGAACTTTCCCATCTACACATATTTCTTAAGTAGCTGTGTACATCTCTTTCTCCAGCAGTCACAAAAAGAACTGTGAATAGCAATAGAGGAGAAACTTAAAAGGTTTCTATATTTAGTCTAGGTTTGAATGAGAGGGAAAAACAAACTCATCCAAATCTGTCAGCCATAAGGCTGGATTTTGAGACCAGCCTTGGCATCATGTTACTCCTGATCCTCAGTGTTAAGCAGGATGCATGTGGAGGAGATGGCAGGCTGTCAGACAGCCCCTTTGCTCATGAGAAGGTTCAGGCTTTAGTTACATGGTTGGAGGAGAGGACTAGAAGTTGTCAGGGGCACATCACCAAAAAGCAGGGTTTGGGTCACTAACGGCCTCAAGCTCAAATAACTAAAGCTTCTCACAGAAAGATCTGCTGGGCTGAGAAAGCTGATTCTTGCCATTACTGTAGGTTGATCTGTCAGGGATTTTGAAGGTTTTTACAAGTTATGAAGTCCATTTTGCTTATGTCCTAATCAGCCACAAAGTCCTGCTTTAGAGAAGGGCCACATCATGGATGACCTTCCTCATGTTGTAATTATTTTCCCACAGCAGCCTACAGGAACATCACAACACTTTTCATTAACATTATGAATTCATAGTCTAGGCTTGTGTGAGAAAGAGACAAAGAAAAATGTAAAATAAGAAATATAATTGACTGTGGTATTATACTACAATAACCATGGAATTCTAAATGTTCTGAACTCTGCAGCTAGATTGCACTACACTTCCTTTCATATAAAGAAATTTTTGTCATCCTTAATAGCTTCCATCAAATTTACTCTTAAAGCATTCACTCTTTGAGAAAAGTTAATAGGGCAGGATTAACCACACTGTATTTTCGTTAGACCAAATAGTTTATTTGTAAAAAAAAAAAAAAAAGAAAAAGAGAAAAAATAATACTCTTAGCTCATAATACTCATCCTTCATCAAACAAGCAGAATTACATAGACGTTCCATCCAGCCTCACCCATGTCAGAAATCCACATCCTACAGGGATCACTGCCAATCTTCATCTCTGTGCCAAGAGCACAAGTAACCATGTATACTCAAAAAAGAAAATTGGATTTAGCTCAACATCTCATTTTATATAAGAATCATCTACTATTAGGTCATGTAGTCTCAATTTACTATTTGAAGCTACTTCTAAATAAGCAACACCAGAACAAAATATTCAATGGACAACCTGTAAAACATTTCAAGAACGTAAATCCTTCCTCCAACCCAACACACAAACAGAGAAAGAGAGCACACAGCTCAGAGCACTGAAAATATTCAATCCTTTTTCATTCATGGCAGTCCTGGAGCACCAGGAGTAGTGAAAACCCTTGGTGACCAAAACCATTGGTTGGGAAGGTGAGTAAAGCCCTTGCTCACTGCAGCAGGACTTCCCAGGGCAATCAGTACTTTCACAGGAGCTCCCTGAACACACTTGCTCCAGCTGTGTCACTCGCTGTGTGGAAGGTGCTTCTGTACACAGTGTGAGCACACCATACAAAGTGTGCCTATGGAACTTCCCTAAAGTTTAGGCAGCAATGAAAATAATATATACTTCCATTACTCCATTGCTCCACACACTACTCCCACTTTCAAGAGGTCAAAAGAGAACTGATGTCTTCCCCTGTGTCATCCCTGCTGAGATGCTGACTCTGTCAGCAACGGGAATCCATCTGCTCAACAAATTTATAAATGAAAGTAGAGAAATTCAGAATGCGCTCACATATCAAACCCAAAAGCCTTCCACAGAATGACCCTTCCTAAACGAGCAGAGCAACATCTATGATGTCTTTCCTCAGTCACGCCTTTCCTCTGAAAAAAGCAATAGCAGCCTAGAAACTCCACAGAAACCCAAGCTTTTTAGAAGTCAAAGAAATCAAGAAAAATATGTCCATAGGGTAGAATCAAACAACATTTGTTTTTGTTTTTGTAACAGCAATTATCCTTTTTAAGACTTCACGATTTTCTTCAAATGCCTTGATCACAATTTCCTGCTTTTAAATGGAAATGAAGCACTTATTTGTCTATCTTCCAGACAGTCCAGATTCTGAATGCCATTTCTGTGCTCTAACCTTGGTTATACTTCCCAAGGTTATACCTTGACATGAGCACCATCAGCCAGTGGTAGAAACTGGTGGAAAATGTAGCCTACACAGCCACTCAGTCAAAGTCCCAGCCCATGACTGGAATATCCTCATTTACTTTAAAACAAATTCAGTTGGCCCCAACTTACTTGTGAGTTTCAGGAAACTGTTCCTGAGAACTCATTAATCATGCTGTAAGGCTGTTTACTGGTTGCCACTTCAAAACACTAGGCTTAAATGACCTCTCTTATTGACTTTTTTGAAAAATGAAGAAAGGAAGAGGCAGAAACATGAAATGAAATGCACCAAACAAGTGGAAACAGTCTCTTTAAATATTTTTCGCTGGTGTTAGTAGTAAAAGCTTGGGGGTGGAGTGGCAGTGCTGGCAGATACAGTTTTCAGAAGATATTTATATAAATTTGCTGTAGGGCAGAGAGCATGAGTATTACCTTTCAAAAACAAAATAACCCCTCCACCCACAAAAAAACCCCAAAACTTAACCCTTGGGTGAAAACTATATAAAGTTCCAAATAAGAAGCCACTTGAGCAATGGATTTATCCATGATTCCTTGGATTACTGGTAAGTAATTTGGCTGAATGTTTTTGTTCTAGGGCATTAGTTTTGCATTTTTCCTTGGGAAATGCTGCAGTAACAAACAGCAGAGACTGAATTACCATAAAAGCAGGTCAATTATTTCTATGGAAATTGTTCAGAAGGAAAGAAATGATGCACAGATTCTCTTAAGCTGCACTTGATGATGATGACGGAAAAGTAATGGCTGATAGAAGGCAGTGTGTACTGTTGGGTGACAGCTTTGTTGCTGACAAACTACGCTGAACATTTGTATAATGCACTACAAGGCTGGCACTTAAAGATGATGGTGGGGTAGATCCTCAGCTGATGCAACCCTACTTACTCCAGAGCTACGCTGGTGCTCACCAGCTGAGGTATACAGGATCTATCCTGAATGTATCTATTATTTACATTGCGTAAAGTAAGGCAAAATAAATGTTTCTTTGTCACCCATACAGACAGAGAAGATTTAAAGAGCCAACGCAGACACAAATTAGTTTATGCAAATTACCTTCAGGGAATCATACACAGTCCTTACAGCCCAAGAGTCAGCGCAACACGTTTACCCAGTTCACAAATAAAAAATACCCCTCCCCACCACCACCCAAAATGGCAGGGTCCTTAAACTTAGTCCTTTATGGCTTATCAACAGAAATGAAGATGCAAGAAATGCTGCCCAGTGTTACTACAATGAAATGTTATCACTTTCCGGGTAAAATCATACCTGTATCTGAAGGCACATCTAAAATTAGCACACTAGTACATTTAACCCTTCAAATGGAAACCAGTTCAAAGCACCGCTGATGAAGCATGAGGCAGAAGAGAATATGCTTCGTTCCGCTGCGCACAACATAAACATATATATAAAACACATAATTTTATTATTGTTAGAAGGACTTTATTATTATTCCCTCTGCATAATATTCTTCCTTTTCAAGGCTTATATTGCATTACAAAGAAATTGCCTTCATCCCAGGCCGTATGGTGATGATACAAATGACTTTGCCCAATAAGCCTACAGTAGAGCTGCGAACCGAGCTCTGCTGAGTTACAGTCCATTATTCTATCCACTGGATTCCTAATAAAATATTACTTTTTTGTTTATTTGTATGCAAAGTGAATATAACCAGAGAGAGCATTTGCCAAGGATGGAGGCACTGTTTTGTCCTAGCTCTTTCCAGGACACACCTATGCTTCATATTCTTCAGTTTGCAAGCAACCAAGAAAGCAGGTATCACAAGCAGTTACAAGGGCTACCTAGGGGCTATCTGCTGAGAGAGAGGTGACAAAAGACCTTAGGGGACATTAGATAGTTCCTCAACATACTAATGCTCATAGGAGAATTTGACCTACTGCTTACTGAAAAACCCAAAGTCATGATATAGAAGGAATGCTGGAAATCATGGCACGTTTATTTTTCAGGTGCAGCTGTCGTAGGAAAAAGAAACTGCCAGAAGCAAAATCCAAAATCCAAAAGCAAGGCTTTTGGGAATTAAACATTTGTGTGAAACAGGAAAAAAGAGTAATCCAATAACTGCAATAATTGTTTTTCATTCATTGCAAAGAATATGACACAGGTACGTGACTGCACCTGTAAACACCCATGCTGCCTCACCAAGCTGGGGAGGAGGAGGCTGATGGTGGCTGCTCTCCTCCCAAGGTCCAGGCTGTGCCAGCTCATGGGAGACAGCCAGCAAGCAGTAAACTCTGGATCAGCTACACCTTAGGTGTGTTTGCATTACATGCATAGCGAAGAGCCAGAACAAACACAGCAGCTGAACTTTTCCCACAACACGCTCCTGGGGTTATGTGCTGGCACAGCTGTAGCCTTGGAGAAACCACTATGCTCTCCTGTACTGGGTGGGGGCACACTCTGGGTCAGTGGGCCAAGAAATGTTCATAAAAGAGGATGGCAAGAAAGTGCTGACAGATTCATATTGCTCTGGATATAACTGTGCTAGCCTGAAGATGGTGGACAGTCAATTTTCAATATAAAAGAGTTTATGACAATAGAAAATTGGCAAAGAGCAGCAGATTCATGTCCTCAGCAGTCCCTTTACCCAATAGTGTTAGTCTGGCAGAGGAGCCCATCTCCTGACCTTAGCTAACTAAGAATTTCCTAAGGGAATTAACTGAGACAGTCACAAGAAGAGATTTCTTACCCAGCTGGGCAAGAAAGCATTGAACAAAAAAAGAATCACAAAATTTAGGCAGAGTGGCAATAGTGCTGGAGGACAGTGTGGCTCCTTGTAGAGAGCTGGCAAAGCTCTGCACATTTCAGCTTTGAGCAGCATCTGACAATGACAAAGCAAAAATTACAAAAAAACCAAATTATTATCATCATGGCTGCTGTTTAGGTAAGCAACTAAAACTTTGCCTATTTCATGCTTAACTGCATTTTCAAGAGCTTAGTGGCTTGGCAAAACAGTCTGGAAATCTTACAAGAACAGACTTTGTTAAAATATTCCAGTCTGGCTGCTTCCAGGTCTGGATGGGTACAAACATGAAGTGAAGAAATCGAGTGCAGCTTTCAGAACTTTTAAGCAGCTCTGGTTTTTATTTCATTCTAGAAAGGAACAAAAGGCAGCAGACAGCCTCTGTTATTCATCCTCATGACATGACTAGGCCAGTCAAGAAGCAAAAGAAGGCATGTAACTCCTCCCCTACTTATTGCCCTCTGACTGCTTTAAGTAAATAAGATGACAATGAATGAATGAGAAAAAGGCACAAACCACACAGGCGAGGATGCAAGATGTCAGAGGAAGTATAACTCTCAAAAAAAACCAGCATTATCTATAGAGCTGTTCACCCAGAAAGTAATGCTGAATGCTCAATCTTGTGCATTAGCAATAAAACAGCATTTAGGACCTGGAGAAGAAGTTTGCAGGGTCACATTCAAGCTTATCTCATTAAAAAATAAATTAAAGACTACAGGAAGTGAAATGCTGGACTTAAAATGCTTATAGACATTCAGGACAATCAAGATTTAAAAATTCTTGTTTATGTTAATAGGAGCATTGTACCCCATCCAGAAGAAAATAAATACATTTATGTTTGTAGGCAGTACTTGTGCCTAAGCTAGGAGAGTCCCCTGTACCTGATGTGTGGAACTGTTTTCTACCTTGACACAGAAAACCTCCCCAAGGACATTTGCTCTGTCTGGAGAAAAAATGCAATCTTCCTCCTGACCAAATACATATCTACTTCTGAGAGCCACTAAACACTCAAACACCATCTGTGAGCTGTGCATTCATCTGTAACGCACCAATTTAGCTGGCAGGCCATTGGGAAACAAGACTCTGAAGTTGCCAAGTTAAAATGGCAATCCAGCCCCAGCTGAAACTCCACCAAGCGAACAGGTGAGATTACCAAAAAACACTGTAGCAGAGAGAGATGAAACACCAAAATAAGAAACAGCCTTGTGGAGTGGAATAATACGTGGGGGGGGAGGGAAAGGCACAGCTTTGATCTTTTCCATCCTGTGCTTAATTAGCAGCAGCATCACACTAGGAGCATGTACAGCTGGAGACAAACAGCCACCTTCCCTCAGTGAGAATCAACAGACTGGTGGCTGCTGTGGGCAGGGCAGGCAGAAGACACAGCACACCACAACTGATCCTCCCTTTCTTTCTGAAGGTCTGGCCATACAGCAGTGAAACTTCATCTTACACAAACACAGACAAGCCACGAGCCAAAGCCCTTTGACTTCTGTCTGGTGTTCACAGCAACAGGATGAAACAAAAACTGAATTCCTGCATGCATTGCTTCCCTTGCCACAATTAAATTGTATGTATGTAAGTGCTGGAGTTAGGAAGTTGTCAAACCAAATGCACCATTCAGTTCTTGTGCAGATTTATAATTCTTATGCACTGTAGGAATAGGTGGGCCCAAAGATAAAAGGAAAGAAAGAAAAGTTAATTTACAGTGTAAGCTTGTGCATAAAAATGCTTCTAAAACACCATTAGTGTTATTCCAGTCAGATCTCCAGAACCTTCTGTACTGACCTGACAAAAATGACCTTTTCTTTTTCATAGCAAATTTACAAGGAAGAACTAGGCAGGAAAAAAAATGGCTGGAATCTGTGGGAACAATGGAGCATGTAGCATGTATTTAGAGAAATCTTGACATTGGAAATTATTTTTTTACTGTATATCAATTAGAGCTTTTTGATTTTTATCATTTTGTGCAGCAACATGTCCACGAACAGAATTGTTTGACTCAAGAATGGCCCCCACGAAGAGAATGAAGTAGGACATGACCCAGGTAACACCAATTAGAATACATTTAAAAATAAATCCCTGTAGATTTAAACATGGCCAGACAAGGCAATTCATGAAACTACAACATAATGTAATACATTAGAAAAGAAATCTCACAAACAGAAAATTGCTTGCAATGTTTAGAGTATTTACGAGGCATACATTTTCCAAATATATCTATAACATTTTGGAAGAACACTTCTTCACAGTTTAATGAAAGAGAACAATCTCAGGTTTGAGCAGATGACTGGTGCTACTACACCGCATACTCCAAAAATGTTTTTGTTTTAATACAACATTCTTAAAGAAGTAAACCTGTGCTAGGCCAGCTTAATTAAACCTTTAAGAGCCTTAAAAAAGAAAGGACTTATGTGCATGTGCAGAATACTCTAGGACACTATTATATTTACAACACCATTTACCAGTTATCTCAGAAAAAAACATCATTAAACAGTTATCTCAGAAAACTGAGACACTGTACAGATATCTTAAATTCAATTACATTATGAAAAACACAGTTATAGGAAATGTAAAACTCAAATATTTTTAAAAGATCTTTGTAAACACCACTGAAATTATGGTGGAAATTATCCATACAATTTAGTGAAACAAAATGCATCACGTAATAACAGTATTAACTTTTTCTTTTCAGTTTAATGCTGTGTTATTATATTTGCTGCCTATTTTAGAAAGTAATTTGTGTTGATGGCTCTGGAGAAAAACCAAGCATTAAAGAACTAATTTAATTCCTTCTGAGCTATGTTCAATTCAAAAATACTTCTTTCAGAATGTCCCAGTACTGCAGAATCTGACTAGAAATCCACCTTGAACTATGTGCACTTTGACTAACTCTCTGCCCAAGGCAAAATGATCCTGCATTCAGCAGGGTTTTATCCCGGTCTTCTAAAGGACTTACACAGAATGTACCTGATATAACTGGACCAGAATGTCAACCATGATAAGAAATTATGATCAAGACATGGAGGATACATAATGAGGACCTTATCCATTTTACAGTGGGCTGCTATTGGTGGGGGAGTACCTTTAGGGGGTTGTTTACAGAAATCAGGTCTTCCGCCTTTAAGAAAAAATAGAGAAAGAAAAATGAAAGAAAGAAAGAAAGATAGAAAGAAAAAGAAAGAAAACTGTATAATTCCTTGTGCAGAGCTCTCCTCCCCACTTGTTATACTGTATAACACAAGGGATACCAGCTGTATTTAAGGTGTTCAGGTGGTGTTATAACAGGCTGCCTGGCTGCCTTTGGAAAGAAATTTCACAAATTTTCCTTCAGTGTGAAGACATAGCTTAAAACAGAAACTTAAAATTGCTACAGCTTGTTTCTCAAAAATCAATGTGTGATTGCTAGCTGCACTGGGAGTTTCAGGGATATCCCCTTATCAGAGGCAATCTCTAGATAACATACTTTCCTCTATAGCCCATAGCTGCATGTAAGACACGACAAGACAAATGCCAGCTTCCTTTTCTGTTGGTGTCATCTATTGATCCAGTGAAATGCTCTTCATCTGAAACTTCCTTCCCAAAGGGGACATTTGCTATGAGAAGAAAAGCTTTCTGACTGATGCTAAGAAATCCTAAAACTTTCTGCTAATTACTGCACAGGACCATAGTAACACACATCTCTGAAAGGATTTTAAAAAAAAAACCAAAACCAACAAATTAAGCTCAAATGAGGCAGATGCCATCCTTTTCCAGTCAGAAATGTTGTTTTTCAATAATGAAAATGCAATATAATAAGCTCATTATTATTTTTCTTTGTGCTTTAGATAAAAATGTGCTCTGGGTCTATGTTTTCCTTTGGGTGCATTTCCTCTCAGACACATTCAGAACTCGTATCCCAGATGTGGGTGACTCCAGCTTGTGCCAGAACACAAAAGAGTGTCACCATGAAAAACAACAGTATCAAAAAATAACAAGAAGCAGAGAGGTAAGTAAAGGATGCTGGGGTACTGAAAGGACACTATGCCTACAAAAAACATTCCAGAAAAAACAGCTACATTTGTGCATCTATGGACAGAGGAGAGAGAGATAGCATAATGTGCTGGCCTAAGACATTGGCTTATTTTAAGATAAAAAGCTTTAAATAACTAGAGAGCAGAGAACTAAGATATAGAAAAGACACATTCATTTAAGAATAAAATCTGACTTGCAAAAATTGATATCAACATCCATGTGAATCTTTGCAGTTTTGAAGAGGTTTTGATATGGCTCCTAGGTAACTGCAATTTCATCAGACTGAAAAAGAACCAAGAAAAGCATATTTAAAAGAAAATAATCAAATATTTCATGGGCACTAGAATATTTTGAACTTGACACTCCCAAACAGATTTTCTTAAGAGTAAAGAAGGGGCACACATTTAGAGATGTCACTAAGCTTGTTCCTTCCATTCAAATACAAGGAAGTACCACATTACTTATCAACCTCCCATGAACAATGTCTAAAAAGAAAATGTTTAAAAGACACTCACTCATAAAATGAGTTCTCAGACTTCACTCATAAAATAAGGATTTTCAGGAACAAGGGAGCTGATTTTCTAGTAGGTTGGGACTGAGTGTTTCTCTCTGTGGAGGCAGCAACTCATGTACTTCCCTTCTACTCCTCTTGGCCAGCAGGTCCAGAAATTACTGGGGAAGACTGACAGACAGCCTTACTGCATCTACTTTGCCTTGCTGAAATATCTGGCTAAGAAATAAACTCCAGTGTTCAGGAGGCATTAGACCAAAGCTTCCAAAACAGAAGAATAATGCATTTGGGCAGAACAAAAGGCTTGTTATTTTGCTGTCTCTGATAAACAACAGTTGGCAGGTATTGAACTTACCATGCAAATTAACTTCTCTGTTTGGTTTGGGCATTTTTTCCCCCCTGTGTATATTTGCCTGAAAGGATATTTGTAAATAATATTCTTTGTTGAAAGATTTATTGTTTTTTAAACTCATGGAAAATATTATTTTTAACTTTTTACAAAGATATGATTATGCTTTTTCTTGGAACCCTTAGATTTTTCATCCAACTCCAAATACCTGGAAGACATAGTGCAGTTTTTCAAAGAGCCAGGTTCATCCAGGCAATAAACACAAGAAACACTTAAATAACCTTCAGGAGTCACCACAGAGGTGATTCTGAATTAGGCTTTAGTTTTCTCTGCTGAAAGGCTGGATTACTGAGGAAAGAACTGGGGGACAATCAGTTTGCCCATCATCTATGATGCTTATTAATTTTCTACAATAGAGACAATCACAATCACAACCCTAGAGGACAAAGTCCCTTTATCATCTTTGACCCATAAGGTTTCCCACTACCGGTCTGAATTCAGACAGGATTACAGTGGCTTGTAGTACACTGTACTACACTGTACTATGAATCCATGTGATTCATAAGTCATTCAAATAGCAGCATCTACAAAATATTCATATCTTTCTCAGATGGAAAAACCTACCCTTGTCAAAACTCAGGGTGACAGACTAACAGTGCTATGGGTCGGATGCTCCTTCCCACTCCTACAGCTCTTGATAGGATGTTTATAGAAGGATCCTTATTGCTCCTTGCTTCCTATTTAGAGCTTTTTATTTAATTGCAAAGCATTGCATAATAAACACATGAACAGTCTTAATTTTGTTCAGCAAAGTAGCCTGCTCACCTTCCTATGAATTCCCATAAATTTGGTAGCAACGTATGGATGCAAGAGCCTCAAGAAGTTGGGGGCAGTCAGGATGAGATTTCCAAAGATACCAAAAGAATGTAGCTGATGAAATGCAGTTAAAATGAGAGTAGAAAAAACTAAACTAGCAAAAAAACTAACTAGCTAAAAAACTAAACTAATGAGACAAGCTAAACTAAAGTTAGAACTATAAAGAGCACTGTGGTCACAGGATACAGGCTACTCTCAAAGTCTCTTCCTCAGTTCAGATAATAATGCTCTCTCAGGTTCTCTGCATTTCATAGCCTCTTTTCCATGCTTAGTACATAGCTTTAATAACCTTTATTTCCTTAAGGATCAGCCTAAAACTTACATGATCCACAACGCAGAATACTTACATTTGTATTAAAATTTTAATTTTCAAATCCAGTATCATGATAGGGACATTTTAGTTGTGTGGCCTTAACATGTGTTTAAAACACTTCACTATTTTATTATTTTGCTTCTGTTTTAACCTGAAGGAATATTGATTCAAGTCATATTTCATGTTATTCTTTCAGCTTAAAGACTTCAAATCATCACAGAAAAAGAGACGCAGAAGATTTTGCTAGTTTAGTTCTTGTGTTGCATTCGTTTTTTTTTGTCTGCTTGTTAAATAGTTTTTGCTTGCTGTGCTCAAGGTTTGAAGGTAAAATTTACAAAGACAATGCTTTTTGACAGTGAACCTTCTGCTACATTTTAGAAGCACTCAGCAAATTCCAGCAGTGGGTTTCTAGACACAAAAGACAAATACAACCACTCCATGATTTAGATTGGCTTTCTGTTTGTGGGTCATGAGACTCACTGCTGAGCATGTCAGAAGTTGGCTGTGGCATTTAATGAAGGTTGTCAGCAACTTCATAGTTCCCATAGCAAAAGAAAGAGTGTGCTCTGACTTTGGTTTTGGGCGTGGGTTGCTGGGGTTTTTTCCCCCTTTTTTTTCTTTTAGAGCTTTCATTGGAATCTGGGACTGGAGTTAGTGGATAAACTCAGTTACTGCTAAAAAATCAAATTAAAATATGGAACAAGCTGGTCCTTTGAAAAACATTGAATTGCATAGGTTTCCTTTTTTCAGAGGCATCATTTAACATTCAAAATAAATATTAAATTTCCCTTCAATTTGAAAGTTCAGAGTCACTCATGAAATTAGGAACCATAATCATACTCTATTATGCCCTATCTCGTGTCTCTCAAGAGGGCTGTGACTTGTCGTAGCATGAAGGAACCTAGAAAAATGATTACTTGCTGCTTCAAACAAGATGCATAGCTCAGATGCTCATTAATGAGGCAAAGGAAAATTAATTGACATGTCTAATAGTTCTTTTAATATAGCCTCTAAGCCTTGATGTGTCAATTGTCAAATTACCCCTGGCGTACTTTCTTTGTCTCAGTGATCTTGTGCTGATTTTCTGGGAGAGAAAATTAACATTACTTTCCTTGGCCTCTCTCGGCATACTTTCTGGCCAAGGGTGTTAGGCCTCCAGAAAAATGAGATGCATGCACCCCAGCTGCTTTGACCTCTCTCCAGATCAGGTCCAACCTCCCAGACTACAGGACTGCAGCTTTGTGATGGCTCTGTGTCAATGATGCACCCTTCCTGGGGCATACAGTGGTTAAAAAACCAACAAGCTTTAAAAAGCCTAAATGTATCAGCCTTTCTACATATCCTTGTGCACTGCTTTGACTTAGGTGAGAGTTCCTTTCAGCAAGGCAGCATCCTCTCTGCCTCTGCTTCCCCAGCAATGGTCTAGCCTCAGAAAGAGAAGCCTATACCACACTACAACAGGCTTTCATGCTTGCTCCAACATAGGCAGTGAAAGAGCATTCCTTTTAGAGCTTCCATTCTTTTCACATTATTATCACCCAATCCAGGCTGGAAAAAAAGCTGTTTCTAATCATTTGCCTGTTAGTCAAGTCTCTGCCTGACAGCAAATCCTTTGATCAAGACTGTTATACTGTGTATATTAAGCTCATCTAAGTTTATGTAATGGAACATTGCAATTGTTGCTGCTATTTTGTCAGTTGGTGTTTCTCTTGTACATGAAGTCAGGAATAAAAGGAAACAAAGAGAAGGCACATGGGTCATGTATTGCATCTGCTGTTTGTAGTCCCGGGCAAAAATCCATGCGATTCCCAAAATTAAACAGCATCTGAGAACTTCATATTGACAAACTCTCTGAGCCATAATTCCAGAAACTTAAGAAACCCTGATTTCAATGTGATTTGTTTGGGGCTGGTTTTTCACACATAGATTAAGTGATGTGTTTCAGAAATTAGCCCTTTAGCATATCATAGCAATAAATTTCCTAATACAGAGCCCTACTGGAAAATGCTGCTCATTGTGCAGAATGAAAATTGCTGCAAAAGAGCTTATCAGATCTTTATGATTTGTTTTAAAAAAAGAAATTATTAAAAATCATTAAGATATTTTTCATTCTAGAATAATTCTAAATAATCTTTGCCATTTCGCTTGGGGTGTTCATATCCTATGGCTTTTTTATAAGAAACACATTTGCACATGCTGCAGAGCATAAACACACTCAATCCAATAATTAGTTAAGGAAGTACTTCAGAAGTACTGTCCCACAGAGCTGCAAGTGTGCACTAAGTCTGAGAGTAACAGATTTCTTGCCCATTTGAAGGCTATTAGTGCACACACAATAGATTTAGCATGTCTCAGGCACAGAGGAGTCCCTTCTCATGTGCTGTAGAGCAAGGCCCTACAGCCGAATGGATGCATCTGGAATTGCCACATGGGCTGTCAGAGATCCAGACATCTTGAACAAATGTTGGAGGTCTTCAGCTTTCACCCAGGCCCAAAAAGAAGAATCTGGGAAAAGCCAGGTTTTATGAAGCTGGGTGAGAAACTAACATAAAATTCAGTAACATTTCTGAGTGTCCTTCTGTTATGTGATAATTTTTGAATAATCCAACCAATCAGCACTAAAGATTCAGGGAATACCATAGCTATCATTGGCATGGACACTTGATTTTGACAGAAACTGAAACAGCAAAGCAGGTAAAATGCAGGAGAATGAGCAGAAATGGCAGAGAGGGAGTTTGCAAGCACGAATAAAGGCATGTAGAAAGCACCCACGTTATGCAGAATGAGCATGAAGGTCTGTAGCTATAAAATCTTTCCATGACACACATTGTAACAAG